CAAGGTCTGTCATACAACAGTATAAACTATTTATTAAGACACTTATATTGACATTTTTCCAATATTTTATAGATATTCTTCTTACGAGTAATAGCGAAAATATTCCCTGTGCAATTGATGATACACTTAACCATAGGCATCAGAAAGTTCGACAGAAAAAAAAAGCAGATTATATGAAATCTACTGATAAAAAACAAAAGTTAAATGATAATACTGTTAAATATCCTCAGTACGAGCTGGGAGACTTTGTTGGCCTTCAAGTCGATCGTGTTCATGGCATCGACACAACATTTAAAGTTTTACCATGTAAAGTAACATCTGTAAATTGGTCGTCGAATGATTCTATAATGTACAAAGTGTGTACTTTGCAAGGTGTATTATCAACAGTGTATGGTGTTCACGATTTCTTGGATTTACGAAAATATGATTTTACTGATTTACGTGCTGTCGAACCAACAACTCTACCAACAATTACATTTACAGACGCGTGTAAAGAGTACGTGAAAATAGGTATAAATCCTGTAATGGAGGCTTGCAACTGTAATGGTAAATGTGCTACGAAATCTTGTCCATGTAAATCTAAACATGTTAAATGTTGTACAAAATGTCATCCACAAAAGAAACACAGTTGTGCTAATATTTGCGACCAATAAAAGTACTAATTTGTGATTTGTACTTTTCGAACTTTTTAGTGCTATTTGTTGTAAGATAATACTGTTTTGCGCGATCACTATAACAAATAAACATGGTAGTACAAAACAGATGTCAGTAAAAAAAAAAACGATATAATGATTATTCTTTACGAGAATTTGAAATTTTCCCGTTATGTAAATTACATCGGCAATGCTTCATACGAAGCTTAAACGGAACAGTCGATATTTCATTTAGCCCCAGGGAATTTTAAGTTTCTATGGATTTTATTATAAGCTACAACTTCGTCATTATATTTTTCTAAACATACCTGATGATTCATAACCTAAGCAACCATCGAAAGACGTCGTAGGACGCTTTAAATATCCTTCCTTCCATATATATAGTCTTTTTGTACAATGAAAGATTTGTTACATTCCATTCTTTTTCTTCGAAATTCTTTCAAAGTATTGGCCCTTTTACTATCGAGACCCTAAAAATACTGGACGATGACCCTTAAGAAAGGTTTGAAACGCGCCTTGTGATGCTCTCAATCTAAAAATCTTTGATAATAAATTTATATTATTCTGGACTTTGTTATTACGAATTAGTTCTTAACTTCTTCAACTTATTTGGAGAGTTTCGAATTTTTATGTAATTATAGATTGTAAACATGCCTGATGATTGAACCCTTAAGCAAGGTTCGAAACGCGTCGTGTGATGCTCTCAATCTAAAAATCTTTGATAATAAATTTTTCGAGATCTACTATACAAGTACTTGCCACTTGACAATATTCTATTGAAAATAATTGAAAAACTTTATAAGTTTTGCGGTAATTCTACACACTCACTCAGAGTTATAAATTTTACTCACTTTTCGAGTTCAATTTATTGTACTTTGTATTTGATATTTGAAAATTTTCTTCTTTTAGAAACTTTTCGAGATCATCTATACAAGTACTTGCCACTTGACAATATTCTATTGAAAATAATTGAAAAACTTTTTAAGTTTTGTGGTAATTCTACACACCCACACCCACACCCACACCAATGATAAACAATCAGAACGTTATTTTACATCGAAATATATACCTCAATTATTTTCAATTAATGACTTAGACTTTGAAATAGATCGTTTCGAAGGAACAAATTGTTATGTCAAATGTTAGTCGTGTGATTATCGTATAGTTATAGGAAGCTCTATGAGACATGTTGACAACTTCAAGATGTCTGGAAAACATTACAACATATATACAGCTACATCTTATCGATTAAAATAAATGGAATGCTTTTCAACGACTAAGAAGTATTATGCAACACTAATCAATCATTATGAACGATTATCTTTGGAATTCGAAGTCAAATGTTTCAATGAACAACTTGCAATTATTTGCATTTTATTCACGTGGTTATCGACCAACAGCGTTTCGACCATACATCCAGGTGACTCTGGTAATCTGCCTATGTTAATTGTTCTCTACTTTGTTAAAACGGCAATATAAAGCTAGGAACGATGGTTCAACGATAATATTAGACGAAGCACTTCGAATAGGCCAAAGAAAAACACCTGCTCGTTACTATGCGCTTAAATTGCAATCACCTACGCTCAACTTATGGCTAACATTTTGGAGTAAATTATTCGACTCTATCAACAAATTAAAGTCCTATGAATGTCAGTAATATACCTATCGTCCAGCAACAATATTTGGTTTGAAATATCCTGAAAGAGTACATGATATATCAGGTACATTAGAACATTGATACAGCCACATGTTAGAACTCTCCATCAATGGTACTGTGTTGTTTGACCTGGATTTATACATCAAAAAGGAAGAAAATGAAGGTCATGATAAATCGAAAACATTAGAAAATTTGATTTCATGTTGTTTTGGAAGATCTAACTTTTCTGTTGTAATAATATTGAAACTTTTTTTGAAGAACTAATTAGATTTTGAATAAATATATTTTTATGAACCTTTGAAATAAATACATGAACATCAGTCAGATACGAAATCATAACTACAAAAAGAGACGACACTTAAAAATCAAAAGAAAATTAGTAAACTAAATGTGAAGTTTCTTCTCCATAAACCTATATAACGCCAATGTCATACGATTACAGATTTGAGGAACTACAAGGAAGCAATCAAGAAATGTACATCTGCTTAGAACAGAACAAGTGAAAATTTAAAGAAGCAAAACAAAACAATATTTTCTCGGAAAACTCACTTACTGGCACAGTTAATCAGTTATTCTCAAAAACAAATTCTAGAACTTTCCGAAAACTATATATATTTGACTGGATTCGAAAACATTTGTTCCATTTACTTAGTTATTTTTATAAATAAATGAATCTAATTAATATATGCTATTAAAAAGAAACTATTAGTATATTTACTATTAAATTGTTTTTTGTTGTTCGCAAGCACTTTTTCTTTTCCTTTTTACTAAAATACGAGTCCGATCTGTATCACAGTATCGAAATTTCTACACTTCGTCTAAAAATGGCTTTCATACCACAGTGTAGAAAACATTTAAATTTGATTCTTAATTGCAATTGCATTAAAATGTCTCAAATCACAAGAGGATATCCTTGGGCAAGGTTGATACTGGTCGTGGTATGCTCTTCTATATCGTGGTAACTCTTCAAGCTCACTCCCTAACGACGGCGTCTCTACTTATTTTTATCATTAGTAGATATGGTATTATGTATTGACTCAAAATTTTATATTTTTGGATCTTTCATATTAGTACTTATGCCACTTGATAAGATTGATTCAGCAACAACGAAATACCTTACGTTATTGTGGTTACTATAACACACCCACATCCTCAAGATAGTCTGTGAATACGAAAAGTGACGTTTCCTTTTCTATGAAGCCATGTTTGTCTATTGTAGATACATTTAAATTTACTGAACTCCACACAGATCATTCATTCCCAACAAAATTAAGCTCATCAACATCTATCAACTCTACAAACGAATATTCAATATAAGGAATACCATTCCAGCAACAGAGTCTCTCTACTCCTTTCAAGACAGCCTAGAAAGATTTCTAGAGTCAATATGAAATCTTTCATCGGTAGGCACAGCCACTAAGAATCTCTAATGAGAATTAACATAGTTTGAATACATTTGTGTTCTCACCTATTCTTCTGATAATTTTAAAAATAACTCTAAATGTCTGAGTCTCTTCAATGATCCTTAGGATTTCGACTTCTCTAACAATAAAATTCTATACATACCCGTTGAGTTCTCTGAGAAAATACGAAATCGATCGTGTCCATCTCTGAATCTTAAAATATTGATTTCTATATTTATCACACAATATAGCTTCTTTCAAGTTATTCAACAGACGTCTAGCTACTAAGACGAAATCTGCATCATTATAGTTATTCTCAATCGAACATTCATATCTTGAATCTGATTGGTTGTTCCGAGTGACCACTATCCATTCACCGATTTCTTTCTCGGTAATCATTTTCAATATATATAGCTCAACCGATACACAAAGATATGTGATATTCGTATCACATGAAATTGTACTACAAACGTTTGTAGCATAAACCAGACGATGAGACTTAACGTCAAGTCAAAACTCGTTCTGGAACTCTGTATCACCACTGCCGGTGAAAATCTTTTTATATTTTTATGGCGATCCCCATGAAAGTTCCCTTCTAACACTCTATATAACTACGTCCTCTTCCATATTTTTCAACTGAGCTTGACAACAGTCCTAACATTATCTTCACTCACTGCATTAGATCACTTTTATACAAGGTCAAATGATACCTATTCAGGGCCCAAACTTAAAAAGTGCAACTAGCTCACATTGGCGGCGTCAATGCTATTCTCGACTTTTCACTCTTCACCTTCAAACCTATACAATATCTCGCTCTCACATCATCGCAGCTGCTATGGGTGCGGCGTAAGGAGTTCCTCAAGATGACAAGAAAATCCGATCTCGTAGGCATAAAATCCAACATTAGTTAACACGTAAAATCCTACAGCAAAAGGCTGAAAAATACGATATATACGACAACATTTCTGAACCATCATTTGAAACTTCAACCACCATTAACCTAACGGATCCCATTGATTCAACAACTTCCATAATACTTCGAAAAATTCGTTTACATAGCACATGATATATATTTTTCCTCTATTCAGGGTATTCACAAACTAATGAATCGATATCTCAGGAAAATAAAAAATAGACGTGTGCTGCTCTCGATCTCAAAAATCTTTTATTATTAAATAATCTTATCTCCTATTTTATTGAAAATATTTGATAGGAATTATTATGTACTGAGTCTTAACTTCTCAGATTTATCTGATCGAGTTCTGATTCTGCATGTAATAATAAATTCTAAACATGCCCGACGAGTCCCTTAAGCAAGGACGAAACTAGTCGTGTGATGCTCTGAATTTAAACAATCTTATCTCCTATTTTATTCAAAACTTACATTTATTAATTTAAATATACTGATTTTGTTGTTATGTTCTTAAATCTTTACTACCTCATTTATTTGAGTGAGTTTTGATTTATTATGTAACTATAAGTTCTAAACATGCCTGATGAAGACTGTCTTAGCAGCAGTCGAAACGCGTCGTGTGATGCTTTGAACTTCAAAACTTATATTTATTAATTAAAACGCATCGTGGTAGCTCCGACATACTACTTGTCGAGTATATAATCATTCTACTTTCAAATGTAGGACAGTATCATTAATCTTGAATTGATTCTTCATTGAATCAAATTAAAGATTTATTCCACCTGATGAGATCTTTCGCCAGATCGAAACGCGACGTGGTAGCTCCGACATAGCTACTTGATTAGAACTCTAACATAACTATGTTTGAATAGTAGTTGGAGAATCTCTTTAAAAACTTTGTTGGATACTTGCTTCTATCACAGTCACCCGATTATGTGCATTTTAGTGCGCGTTATCAGCTTAGGAGTTTTTCTCATAAAACTTCAGACAATGACATTCACTGTAGGAGAGTTACATACATATTTAT